CAGTTTCATTCTTCGACTTTCTCTGAATGTTCTTTGGTGTGAGTGTTGTCTTCTTGAAGTATTGTTGTAGCTGATTGGATTTACAATACAAGTTCTTCAACGATCACTGAACAGACTCAGTGATGATCGCTGGAACTGAAAAACAGAAACATAAATACTTCGCATAGGGTACAAGGGATTATCATCAAATCAAATGAGAGAGAGGATCAACAGTTATTTAAATGGTCAAGGAATGTCTCGAAATTGTTAATGTTGATTGAGAGAGAATCTGTTCACATATATGAGACTATTATTATAACATCCCCACTTCCATAATTGCATACAACACAGAATTCTTATACAAAGAGATACATGTTTTCCCCACATAGGTCCATAATACAAGAGACTATGTTATAAAATGTACAACTCAAAAATTCAAAATACATGCTCTTGTATAATATCCATTCTCCAAAACTCATTCAGATATGATCTTCATAATTCTAAGCACATAGGGAAGTAATAATAGAATATTTTTTCCCTACTATCATTATCTGCACACATATTTGAAAACACAAAATGAGGGTTAGACATAATGTCTAGTGAGGTTCCCTTTTTTATGTAATGCAGGGTGAGAATCACTAAATCATTCAAACCATTTCACATAAAGAGAAATAAAATCACATTCTGTTTGAATCCATCGGACCTCTGGTTCCAAAGAACACACTCAGAACATATTATGTTTGAGTCCATCGGACCTCTGGTTCCAAAGACCACACTTAGAAAATATTTCAACTCATAAGAGGACCAGAGCCCCTCTGGTTCCTCTACCAGAGCTTCTAGTTCCTCGAACTGAGCCTCTTGCTCAGGTAATTTCTCATAATGTTCCTTGACTAACTTTATAAGTAATAAAATAGCCTTTTTCATAACTAAAAATGATTAAAAAGAGTTCATGTATAACCAGAGCTTCTGGTTGTACTAACCAGAGCTTATGGTTCAAAAGACAAGACCAACCAGAGCTTCTGGTTCAACGTGTAAGCCAACCAGATCCCCTTTGGTCTGTTTTTCATAAAAAGATTCTAAGTATAAAAATCTTTGAATTATCTTTCAAAATGTAAATTTGACACAGAGCTCGTTTCTTATGAATACAGAGCCTCTGGTTTTAACTAAAACTTTGTAAAAGACTTGTATAATTTTCAAACCATCATCCAGAATCCTCTAGTTCTATATTGAGGTCCAACCAGAGCCCCTCTGGTTCCTTACAAGGAACAACCAGAGCCCCTCTGATTCCTCATAAAATGAACATTATGTTCCAAAACACTTTTAACCAAAACCAATGGCCATAGGCCAAATTTTCCCTTCTCAATAACATCAATATTATCATTTCTAATAAGAACAACATCTTTGAGTTCTCAAATCACAAAGAAGTAAGGACTCAAATCTATTGTAATCTTAAAAGATATAATAGCAAGAGCTATAGTATCTACACACAATTGCCACCCTTTTATCCAAAGGTACACCTCTCCTTGATATGTCACCCTTATATTCGAAGGTACAACTCTCCTTGATATGTCATCCTTATCCCAAAAGACACCTCTCCTTGATATGTCACCCTTATTTCTTTTCAAAATCTATGAACTAGTTCGGATGAAGGACCGCAGTCATAACCATCTTATCGAATCCTCATTCATAGTTTTATCCATAAAATCTATAGATTAATCCCAAACGAAGACAGACCGAAATCACAACCGTCTTGCTGAGATGTCCTCCATAGTTTTCAACCAGTAATGATTTCCAAAACAGTTTTATCATTAAAACCTTCAAACTCAAGAACAACTTGTTCTTTCCATTGAGAATATGCCATTGAGAATATGATGAATGACCGAGTTAAAAAAAAAAATTAGTTTGACAAGAACAGAGGAAGAAAATGGAGCTGAAAATCTTGGTTCTGTCGGAGATGCTAAACCTACAAAAGCAGGAGTAGAAGAAGACTCTGAGGATGGGTACCTTAGATTTTGAGGAAGTATCTAGGGGTCATAGCTTTCACAAGAAGAAAAATCCATTCAAGCAAGCCAATTCAACTAATTCCTTATTACAGTGTCACTTCGCACTACTTCAGGGAAACAAATGAAAACCATTCAGGCAATTCAAYAAACACCTATCGTATAACTACAAGTTCCTATAATTTCAGGCAATCAAACATAAACCCATTCAGGAAAAGAGAAAGAGGGCACATACCTTGACAGTTGCTCCAACGATGCTTGATTATGGTTCAAAGTTCACCTCTTTGGTAATACACCTGAGAAACCATGATTTCAGAGTTCAGCATACTGACCTCAATGGGAAAAGAGGAAATAAAATTGAAGCAGAGCAGTGAGAACAGAAATGAAACAGAGCAGTAGACAGGGAAAGAGGGCATATACCTTGACCGTTGCTCGAACAAGATGTGATTCATCAGACGAGGAGGGAAGTGATCTTCTACCAATTGTTGCGGTTTAGAAGAAAATATGTGATTTCATGAACGTGGAGGGGAGAAGGATTGAGTGGAACGTGGGGAAGGAAATTGAAAGGATAATTCAAAGTATGTGCATCAACATGTTGTACCAGTTGCTTAAAAAATTGTACCTTTAAAATTCTCAAGATAACAGTAACCCAATTTTTTTATCAGAGAGTATATATATATATATATATATATATATATATATATATATAGGGTTGGGTTCACGTGAGACCATGGTTTTTTCGTGAGACCCGCAAGATCAATTTATGTTTATTGATCAACTTTATAAACTAATGATCTAATAGTCTAAAGTTGCAAGGCGACAATTTTGTAATTATTGAGAAGTCTCATGGCGTTTATGAATGTTCAGATCTGACGATTGTAAATCTAATCCAAGGGTTGAGAATTGGTCTTACGGGTCTCATGAAAAACCATTGGTCACACATGATCCCAAGTCTATATATATATATATATATATATATGGGCATAATCAAATGAGAACTGAATAGTTTGTGGTAACTGTGAGATCCAATTTCAACCACAAATCAATGAATAAATTAGAAAAATAATAATTATGGTATTTTGAGTTAAAATTATAATTAGAGGGCATATTAGGTATTTTAAAAAAACCCCTTTCTCATCTCTCCGATCTCCAATCTCCGGCCTCTGGTGAAATCAGTATCATAGTATATCACAATGGGTATCACATTGAGTATCTTTGTTTTTAAGGTTTGAGTTGGTATCATAGTTGGTATCACAATGTTATCACAGTATATCACAATGAGTATCACATTGTGTATCTTTGTGATTACTTGGTACCTGCCGAATTAATGTTTACCGGAGGCCGGAAATTGGAGGTCGAAGAGATGAGAAAGGAGAGAGAAGGGAGAATTTTTTTAAAAATACCTAAAATGCCCTCTAATTATTAAAAAAATTATAATTTTAACTCAAACTACCATAATTATTAATTTCCTAATTTATCTGTTGATTTGTGGTTGATACTGGATCTCACAGTTACCATAAACTAATCAGTTCTTCTTTGAATAGGCCCATATATATATATATATATATATATATATATATATAAGAGATACAGAAGAAAACCCTAAAAAATGGAAAACAAGAGATTAAAACCGATGGACATAGACTATATCATGAGAGTCTCTTAATCATTCGCACCAAATCATTCAGCAACTGTCAAACAACCCTTAGTTATTCCCATAAAGTTGACAACCTAAAAAGCTTTGTTGATTAAGGAGTCACCAAACACTTACCGGTAAGTGCTTAGCAGTAAAATTTAACACTATTATTTACTTATTGGTAAGATTTTAGTCCACCAAAACGACATCGTATGCAACAATTTACCCGGTAAGCGCTTACCGTAGTAAGAGTCGTCGTCCTCACCTACCGGGTAAGACTCATGGTCCTTGTCCCGTTCTTACTGGGAAAAAATTTTGGTTCTCACATATTCATCCAATGAGCTAACATGACTTGATAAGCATTTACCCGGGTAAGTGTTTGGTAAACGGCCCGGTCCTTAGTTGGGGTAAGAGGGTGAAAGAATGAAAACTGAATCTACTAATGATATATGTCTTGATGTAATAAACTGTTTTCATTCCTGTTTCCAGAAACAAACCAAACGCCCATATTTGTTTTACAACTTAGGGGTTGTTTGGAAGTTGCTGAATGGTTTGGTGTAAAATGATTAAGTGGTCAGAATGATTAAGTGCAAAATGAAATATAACTGTTTGGTAATTATTTAAAATGAAATTAGGGTGCTTAATGATTAAGGGAGGCTCATGATACAAAATCATTCAGAGGGTTTTAGAACCATTAAGAGGCAGATTTTGTTTTTGTCAAACAAGATTCACCTCTTAACAATTCAGAAGCTGTCTCTTAATGAAACTATTAAGAGGTAAACAAACAACCTTTTTAACCTATGTTTACGGTGATTTTAGAAAGACATCTTAATAAAATGTAAATGCATTTGTTCATTTATTTTTTCAAAATAAAAAACTAAAACCGACCATGTTTTGCAACATAATTGCTTTTCCTAGATTTTATTCTATATTTGACCAGCAATCGTTTCAAAAAACCAGTTCAGCCAAAAGCAATACCGTATTCTAGTACATTGAGCACAAGATCTGAAATTGACAAACATTACAATTAAATCACTCTTATTTCTTTTTTGAAATCTCAGATAAATTGCAACCTTTTTCCTTCTTAACATTTTTTAAACTAAGATCTAGTTTCCGTGCGAGCATAACATTTTTATTAAGCGAATGCCCTTTTAATGGTAGAAACGGGATAATGCAAAAGGGTTTGTAACCAGTCGTCCCATATGGCCGGTGCCTCAAGAGCATCATGTGAGAGTGAGACTAAAATCAGATACACAACACAAACGTCCACTAGGTAACGGACTTAAAGAGTCCGGTGCCCATAAGGAGTTCAATCCGCAAAGGAAGAGTATCGAAGCCAGCTCTCAAATAAGTATACCACCCTGCCCTACACACAGATGAGATCATAGTTGAAGTCTTATGTCCATTGAATCCTATGGAGAAAACAAAACATAACCATAATCTTCCTTACATCAAAGATAGTTCCATTAAATTACTCTCATGATCTCTAGCAATCTGACCTTGCATCTCCTAAGCAGCTTAAAGTAATAGCAGTGACCTGGCATCAAGGCTTCTGTTTTGCAAATCTTATTCCAGCCATAAAGGATCTAATCAAATATGGATTGCTTATAGTTGAATAATAATGTAAAAAAACAACTACAAACCATTTTGTTCTTACGGCTCTAGCGTAGCAGGTAAGGAGATGGACATCCCTGCAGAACGTGTTCAAACTTCTTGTTCGGACTTTGGAAGCAATAACAGCTCTTTCTAATGCTCGGTAAGCCCCCATAGGGCTAAATCTCATGCTAATGGGGACTTTATGGAGTATATGAACCCTAAACCCTATTTGGCCATTTATTCAAACTGATTAGGTTTCTTCAGATACAAGCCGGACAACATCTTCTTTACCGGTTCCTGATACGTTCCGCAGTTGTTATTGGCTTTATACCATTCTTTCACACCCCAGCCATAAATTTATGAATGTTTTAACTGCAAACAACAATGGAGAAGAGACTCGAATCAGAAGCTCCACTAACAAAACCACCTTTCTTCTTCACCTCAACCAAATAACTTGCTGCTTCCTCTGTAATCACTTCCCCAGGTATAAGTAACGGGATTCCTGGTGGGTATGGACATATTAACTCCCCACAAACTCTCCCAATACTCTCTTTAAAGCTCACTTTCTCTTTATTCGCAAAAAAGGCATCTCGAGGGCTCAATCTCATGCTACCACTGGTTTCGATAAATGGTTGTATACCATTTGGTTTTTCCTCCTTCAAACCAATTGAGTTGAATGTTTGTGATAGATGGTTTAACCCTGATACAAGCCTCAGAACATCGTCTCCACTGGTTCCTAGATTTAATGCAAATGTTATAGAACGGCTCCCAATAAGTTCTGAAACGACTCCATAATCCTCATATAAGATATCATCAGCTTCGAAACCAGATATACCAAGCTTCCATACCCCTACTGTAATTCGTAAAGGATCAATACCAGGAAAATCAGAAAATGTACTATAATTGAGGACTGTAATTCCTGGAATCTTTTCTATAAGGGCTTTTGCTTCCAAGGCTATTTCAACTGCTTTATTGAACACGGTTTCTGGGTGTTCGCTTATTTGAGCCCTTGAAGCGTCTAAGGAAGCTAAAAGCAGATAACTAGGACTGGTGCTTTGAAGGGTTTGAAGGCATCGACATATTCTTTCTCTATCCACAATCTTTCCTGCCATATGTAACATGGATGATTGCGTGAGTGAGCATAATACCTTATGGGTCGACTGTATGGAAAGATCAGCCCCTTGACAAAGAGCAGAAAGAGGCAAATCTTCGTGAAAGCCTAAGTGGGCCCCATGAGCCTCGTCAACGATCATAGGAATGTTGTGAGAATGACACAACCGGGAAATCTCTTTCAGATTACTACAGATACCGTGATAAGTAGGTGAGGTGACAAGAACTGCTGATGCTTTTCGACCCTCGCTATCCAATTCTCTCATTGCCTTCTCCACCTGCCATTCATACATTCAAAGTAAGAGCATCTCCAACAGTATCCCACCAGCCAGAGATAGAAAATGAACCCTTTAAAAGCAACACCAATCTTTGCTTATACTCCCTTGTTTTCACATTTTTTGTTTCAGATTTCTAAATATATCAGATTTATTAATTTGCATTTCACTTTTTGGTTTCCCAAATTTGTTATTTCACTAATTATCGTTTTCTCTATCCCCAGTCACTACAACAAAATCAGTTTTATAAGACACCAAATATACCTTAATGAAGCCTTGAGGGCTAGCTCAACCGGCAATAGAAGGCTAAGCCTTCGGGTCCCCCGAGCTCCTCCCCTAGGTTGCTAATTCGAGTCTTCTCAAGGCCACGGAGAATTTTACGTGGGTGATATCTTCAGGATCCCATGGGATTAGTCAAGGTGCACGCAAGATGGCGCGAACACCCACAGTTAACCAAAAAATGTCTAAATGCCCTAATAGATTGCTTCATAGAAATCAAGTTTAGAGAAACCAAACAATTGTACGTTCTATGTAATAGTGTTGCAATAAGTTGACAAGATGTTTTTTTGTTTCCTAACTAGTTTTTAGGACACTTCTGTGAACACATCTTTTTGAAAAAACACTTGTTTTTACAAGACGTTTTCAAATAATGTCATATAAAAGGACATTAATAAGACACTTTATTTAAAAAATGTCCTAATGAACTTGTTAGGCGTCCTATCAACTTATTGTAACACCATTACACAGGACGCATAATTGTTTGACCCTATAAGCTTAAAAGCTATAAAGCAATCTATTTAAACATTTGGCATCCTACAAAACTGATTTTCTTGTAGTCAATATCTTCAGGAATAGGAAAGAGCACAAACATTGCAAGCAGGTGCACCAAATAATAAAAACCTCACTTGCCTGCGAAGGAGTGATGCCGCAAGCAATGTCCCAGTCAAAATCATATTCTGGAGTGATGTACTTGGGTAGTGTGCCACACAAAACCATAGAAGAAAAGGCTGATATGTGAGAATTCCGTGGAAGAATTAGCGTATCACCTGGTGAACAAGTAGCCATAACTGACGCTTGAATCCCACATGTTGTACCCCCAACTAGAAACCATGTCTCTGTAGCTCCAAACAATTTAGCTGCTTGTTTTTGTGCATCCAAAATGGGGCCTTCAGGTGCAAATAGGTTGTCTAGCTCTGGAAGCTCAGGCAAGTCATGAAGGAATGGTTGTACTCCGATGAGACTAGACAGTGAAGATGGAGCTGCCCGACCCCTGTTGTGTCCTGGAAAGTGAAAACTGGCAACGTTTTGTTCAGCTGAAGCCTTTAGTGCGCTAACAAGTGGAGGGTGATTATGGTGTTCTGAGTCTTGAAAGTCAGAAACGACGGTATTATCCTTGACGATTTTTCTGTTGTTTAAGAGTCCCACCTTTTCTTGCTTCTTCCCTGGCATCTGGTTTCTTTCCTACAAAATGATATAATAAAGGCAACATTTGCATATAACTTATTTCAATTTTTTGTGATAAAACCTTAAATCAAGGCTCTGAGGGAAGAAATATAAGCGAGTGACATCATTTGTTCTAAGTTAACTCATGAAAAACAGTCATACATACAGTTTCTTTCAATGTTGGTGCAAGTAACAATGATTCCTTTGTCTCTATAATAGAAGTCTTGATTAGTTATGGATTTGGCTATTGGCCAAATAATCATTTGCATGTGATGTTCAAGAATCATCATCTTAAGTCATTGTTCCTCTTACTTTATGAAAAAACCATACAAAACGTGGTCAAGCTTAGGATAAAATTTGATTTTAAACGAAAAGAAGCCAAACCTAACAAATCAAATAAATCCCACTTAGATGTAGGGTTGGGGAGGGTATAGGATATATGCAGACCTCCTTTCCTCCACCCAAAGAGCAGGGAGGCTGTTTTCATGAAGACCCTCAAGTTGCAAAACATAAAAAAGAAACAAGAGTGCAAACTAGAGGTGTAAGTGTGTGCAAACAAGCAATGTGAGCACACAGTAAGAGAGAAGGCATCAGGGACAAATGTGAGGAAAATAGGGGAAGATAAAGAGAAAACACAAAGTGTGGTACCAACGAATAGATACAATAGTAATAGAATAGTAGGCATGAAAAGTAAGAAACACTAAGACAACCCTCTAATCCACTATCTAACCTAAGACCCTCTAACCCTCTAATCCTCTCCCTTTGTCTCACCCTATCTTCCCCAATGCTCCCCTCCTCCTGTCCATGATAATTGTTCGGCCTGCCCATAGTCCACTACCCTAGTGGTGTGTCTCCAATTGCTCCTATCAGAGATCATGTCCTCAGAAATGTTTAAGGACACCATTTAAATGAAAAGAAAAGTGTAATGTTAAATTAGAGTTGTTCACGAATAGGACGACCTGCTAACCCCGGCCTAGCCCACCCGCTAGAAAAATGGGCTTGGAAAACTATTCTCGAGAAATTAGATACGCCCGGACTGGCCCTTTAAGATTGATGGGTGGGCAAGGAAGATGCAAAAATCTTTATGGACCTTCCCATCCCATTTATATTTTTTCACAAAAATATAATTAATATTTTCATTATATAAAAACTAATTAACTTAGCAGAAGCCCACATTGACGTTGGCTCTGAGCTCCCCCTACATCCTCAAAGATTTATATAAAATTAAAATATCATATAATGACCTAATGACCTCATTGAAGCTCACAACTTACAAGACTATACTATTCTTTTCTTTAGCTATCATAATTGTTTATGATTTTTGTAGAAATGTACATATTATAAATTAGGAGGAATCCCTATAATTATAGAATATAGTTTCTATAATCATGGGATATTGTTACCTTCTTTATCGTTATCATTTCTATATCTTTTCCTTGATTTCCTTGATTTAGTTTCCCTTTATCTCTTGTAAGTACCCTATATATAGGGCCTTGTATAATCAAAGGAGAAATAGCAAATCATTATTCGATTCATCTTTCTTGTCATGGTATCAGAGCTTTAGGTTTCTCTCAGAAATCTAAAACCCTTGTTCTATTTTATTTCAGCCTTAATTGCTCTTCCCAGTGCGCAACCTTCATCGTTGCAAGCGCTTCTAATTGAACAGCCTTAATTGTTTTTTTTCCTTTGATTGAACAACCTTCTTTTTATTCTCTTTTGCAATTCCCTCTCCTTCATCATGACAAAACCCACAAATAATGATACCACCATTGTTAAATCCTCCAATGAGTCCAATTCTGTCTAAAAACTTTGTGATCTGCAGAATATTCGGGCACCCTATAGACTCAATGACAAAAACTATCTAAGTGGTATCAATTTGTCCGAACATACCTAAAGGGCAAAGGGAGACTCAAACACCTCATTGAAGCAGGTCCTGCTGTAGATGATCCAACATTTGGAACTTGGGACGTGGAAGATTTCATGATAATGTCATGGCTATGGGAATCTATGGACCCAATGATCAGTGACACATGCATGCTTTTCTCCACTGCAAAAGACATATGGGAGTTTGTTTGCCGCACTTATTTGAAGGCTCGTGATGCAGCTCAAGTATACCAGATCAAGTTTAAAACCTCAGCCACAAAGCAAGGAAACGAATCTGTCCCTGAATATGCAAATATATTGCAAAATCTGTGGCAGGAACTTGATCATTATCGAGTTTTCGAGATGAAGTGCCCTACAGATGCAACTATCTTAAAAAGTTTCATTGAAAAAGACCAGTCCTATGATTGTTTGGTTGGTTTAAATCCTGAATTTGATCAAGTCAGGATTCAAATACTTGGCAAAGAAGACACATCGTAACTTGAAGAAGTGATCTCTTTGATCAGAATAGAAGAAAGCAAGAGGAGTGTCATGCTTAAACCACAAGCTACGGACGGATCAGCCCTAGCAACAAGGACCAATCCAAAAAAGGAGAGGAGAGATCTGTCCAAATTCGGGGGTAAAGAAACTCGGGAGAACAGAGATAGTCTTTGATGCACTTACTGCAATAAACCAAGACACTCAAAAGAACAATGCTGGAAATTAAATGGGAAACCACCCAGCAGAGAGTGGGGAAACCGTGGTGGACAACAGACCCGTGAGTGGGGAACCCATGGGGCGCCACAAAAGCCTCAATGGAGGCAGCGGAGATCTCAAGCACACATTATTGAGCAATCCAAATCGGAGGAGAATTCAGCAAGAGAAGAGTTCAGCAACGAAGACATTGATAGATTAAAGTATTTTTTGGGTTCTCTCGAAAAGTCATCGGAAACTTGCTCTTTAACTCTTTCAGGTAAACCACCTTTTCCTTATGTCTGAATGCCCTCAAGTAATCCTGTCAACTCATAGATTCTGGTGCCAGTGATCATATGACACCTTCTTCCCATTTTTTTCATAATTACACTCCATGCCCTAGCAACCGAAAGATTACAGTAGCTAATGGCTCATTAGCAACTGTTGCAGGCTTTAGAGATATACATATCACACCCAACCTTGTCTTAAAAAATGTCTTACATGTACCAAAACTGTCAGCCTGTCTTTCAATCCAAAAACTCACCCATGATCTTTAATGGTGTGCTATTTTTTCCTCGTCATATTGTGTTCTTCAGGGACAGGACTCGAGGAAGAGGATTAGACTTGCTGATATAATAAATGGCCTTTATCATCTTGAATCTTCCCAGAAAAGCAGCATTCCACCTTCATCCTTTTTCAGTTCATCTAATAGAGATATAACCTGCATCTAGTCACCCATCCTTTAGAGTTTTAAATGTCATGTTTCCTCATCTATTTCAAGAATTAGCTATTTCTGAGTTTCATTGTGATATTTGCGAATTGGCCAAACGTACTCTGTCAATTAAGCAGAGAATCTTACTAGGAGGTATAACAAGGGCCGAAAACCTTACCCAGTAAGTGAGGGAGAAGACACTTCCTGGGCAAGATTACCAACAATCCATTTTAATGGCATATTATCCAATAAGGTAAATGAGGGTGAAGACTAAGCTTTTGGTAAACGGCCCTTGGTGAAGAAGCTCGATTATAAATTGAACCATTTAAAGTGATTACAGAACTGACAAATTTCGGCAAAAAATAGAACAATTTTGAAATTTGAAATAGCCCGCGCTAACTAAGAAACCTTAACCTAAATCTCACAGAATTTTTCCTGTTTCAGCACAAAAATCACATCATTCGAGTTCTAACTCTAATTCAAAATTTCTTCTCCCAACATCAATCTCTTCACCGAAACAAAAGATTTAAACTAAAATCAATACGAAAAGAATACAGAGCGACGAAAACGAATTAAAAAAAATATAGTATACCTCATAAATACAAGATGGTGCTCTGCTACTACACCTGAGGGTCTGCAACAACCATTAATTCAGAAACAACATACTCGATTGATGATGAAAAAGAAAGAAGTGATCAGTTAAACGAGTATGAATTACCTACCAAATTTAGAAAAGCAGACGCCATTGTTGATGTAGCAATAAAGCAGAGGATCTTCAGGCTCCAAAAACGAAATCCATGGATAGCAGTTTGGCCGGTTGCTCTCTTGGTCTATCCACCAATAGTTCCAGTTCCAGAAATGTAAGACCGGCCTTAAAAAATTTAGGCCCGTTTAGTCTAAACGGGTTGGGTTGATTTGTTTTCCAGTATTTTTAAATTTAATAAAATATAATATAATAGAGAGTAAACTACAAATCTGGTCCCTGTGTTTTGTCACAAAACACTTTTCTTCCCCGTCGTTTCAAAATTACATGATAGTCATCATGATTTATAAAAACATTCAGATTTAGTTCCTCCTTCTAACGGTGTTAAAAATTATGTCAAGGGACATTTCTGTCCTTTTCTCAATTTGTTCTTGTATCAAATCAAAAACCAAAGGGACAGAAATATAGGATATGTGGATTTTGTAAAAGACAAAAAATTGATTAAGAAAAATGAAAATACCCCTTATTTAACGGAATTTTTAATGCCCGTTAGAGGGAATGACCAAATCCAGACATTTTTACAAACTATGATGGTCATCTTGTAGTTTAGAAACTGCAGAAACAAAAATATTATTTTTGCAAACCAAATATGTAGTTTACTATATATATATATATATATATATATATATATATATATATATATAGAGAGAGAGAGAGAGAGATGGGGGCAAGGAGGTTTAAATTAGGGATGGTGATTTGCCCTGACTCGATGGGAAACCCGGTTTACCGGACCCGAAAGGGGATGGGGATTCCCCGCTAAAATGGGTCCCGGGGATAAGGGATGTTATTCAAACCGGGGTCGGGGTCGGGGATCCTCGGTAGAATCAAACTAACGGATATTCTTCTTGGGGTTTGACCAGGGATTGATAGAGGTTTGATCGGGTACGGGATGTTAATCCCCGTACTTGCCGAGGACCGCGGGATGTTACTACAAATCGGGGCCGAGGATTACAAAACCCGTTCTATCCCCGCCCTGTTGCCATGCCTAGTTTAAATCAGAATAGTAACTAAATAAGAGAACATAAAAACGAGCAAATCACGTATAAAATCGCATGTGATTTTACACTAACAGTCAACGTAAGGGTATAGAAGCGACATGTAGTCATGGCTAAAACGGCATGCATCACACGTGATTTTAGTGTAAAATCACACGTGGTTCGACTGTTTTCTTATTATTTTTATTTGATTATTGTTCCCGCATGAACCTGACTATCTATATGTGCGTGTATATGTGTATGTATGATTACAAAAATATTATAATAATATATTAATGTTTAAAACAATTTGTAAAGATTATAAATGTTTGATTATGTTTTGAACTATCTTTAAACCGTGATACTCATTTACCTTCTTTTTAGTTAGGTTTCTTAATTATGTTTGATTGATTTGCTATGAATAAGATATAACACCAATTTCATATACATGGATTAAAATTGCCACAACTATTTTATTAAAGACATGTATACCAATAATTTAATAATCAAGTTGACTATATAAGATAAATAAAAGGTGATTTGATGGTTTCGATAGATTATTCAAAATAATTTATCTTCTATATTCATAAATATATAAAAATATCAGTGTAATTTTGTACACTTTTAATTTAATGTATGAAAAAACGACCCATTATGATATGTTGTTAGATCATTATGTAAGCAAGTTATACGATAGTTATACATTAATGATCATGTAACATAAAGAATGAGGAATTTTGATGCTAATATGGCTGAAAAGCCTATAATATGCATATGTGATGCTGAAGTCGCATATGACGGCATGAAGACATTGTGTCGAGCAAGCTCGAATGCAAGCTATAAGTTGCATGCAAAGTTGCATAGTGTATGCAAGATCGAAATAGAGCACAAGTTCGCATGGCAAGTTGTGATAACCGGGTTTTCGGTTATATAAGTTTGGGGTGATTTTTGAAAAAGTATTGATAAGTGGATGGATTTAAATTGTGTATGTGCTTAATTGTTTAAATAATTCCACCGCTTTAATGTTTCATGCATGAGATATTTGTTATATCTCATGAGAGAATGTGAAAGTATGATTTTAAAACTATTAAACTTCCACCGTCTATGAGTTAATTATGGTGGCATAAAAGTAATAGATAAGATTGGTTTTATTTTATTGTTTTCGGAGAGAAAGAAAACTTCACTGTGTGCTTTTTTGTGTGAAATCTTACGTGATTCTGTAAGAAGAAGAAGTTGATTATGTGGTTATATTTGGAAATTGATGATGTGTGTATACATCTTCGTATACGTGAATATAAGGTGAGTTTATGTTATCAATTTTCTTTATTTTTGGTGTTTGAAAATATTGAACCGTATGGTTCATACTTAGAAAGGTGATAAAATTGTTCTTGAAGCTATTTTGAGTTTGATGGTGAAACTAGGTATAGAACCGTAAGGTTCTTTATATAGGTTTCTGTTATGAAACTATTTTGATGTCATTATTATGATTATATCTTTTATGGAAATAAGGATGACATATAAAGGAGAGATGTACATTGGGATAAGGATGACATATCAAGGAGAGGTGTATCTTGAGATAAGGGTGACATATCAAGTAGAGGTGTATATTGGGATAAGGGTGTCAATTATGAAATATGGGCTTTGATCATATGCTTTGTTTTCACATCCTTGGGATGCAATGATCTTGAGTTATCACATATGTGTGATGCAAGGACTTGAGTTGTCGCTTCCAATTGATGTGATAATGACGTTATTATGATGAGGAGGAAAATGTTTATAACAAGAAAGGTTTTGAATGATAGTACTTTTGAATTAACCATGTTAAGTTTGGCTTTGCTCTGGTTGGTAGACCAGAGGAGCTCTAGGTGGTCTCACACAGAGTGATGCAAGGAATTGAGAATCTCACACAGTGTAATGCGAGGAACTGGGTGGTCTCGTTCTATGTGATGCGAGGAAGTTTTATAAATCCTTACTTGATGCAATAAGTTTTAATATGGGATAGGTTTCAAGATATTGAGTATTTGAATACGATACTTGAGTTATGTTATGTAGAAAGGTTATATATATTTGTTATAATTACAAATATGATTTCATATCATGTTTTGGTGATTTTCACTCTATAATTGCAATAAAAAGGATTTCTCACTAGACCTCATGGTCTGACCTCATGTGCATTACAAGTCAGACACTATCAAGGAATAAGGGAAAGGGGGAAATGTGATATTCTCTATATGCTTACATGGAATATGGAGAAGAACATGTTATTTGTTGATCTTGAATACTTGTTATATAAGCAAGTGATGTACTAGAATGTTATGGATAAATTTGTTAGCTACTTTTGTAATGTAGCTTGTTGTATCTTTTCGGGACCGAATGTATACTCTTGTGTTTCTTGTTATATGAAATACATGGTTATATGCAAATGTGGATCTTGGGGTGTTACAAAGTTGGTATCAGAGCCTGAGTTTAAGGGATTTAGGTATTCAGCATGATGTATGGACTTAAACTGTACTATTTGCATATTAGGGGTCCCTACCATAAGTACAATCATTGGAATAAATATGATGGGTTAAGAGAACGATATGTAAGATAAATTCAAATTACAACTAGCCAATGTAATTATGAATTTACAGGTACATATTTGTGCTTGAATACCTTATTATATTTGAGAATCTGATTATGTGAATATTAATATTGAAAATCTGCAGATGGCCAGTCATTCACGAAGGTTTGAAAGGATCTCCCTCACTAGCCCGAATGAAAGAGAGAATTCGCTTGAAAATATTCCTACCGGTTTATCAACGGGCAGAAGTAGAGGAAGAAGTCGGGGGGTGGAGGCTGTGAAAGAAGTCGTGGGAGAGGAAGGAGCAGTCAGTCAGATAATCATCCAGACCAGTGTGAACCAATTTCTGGGAATATGAATCAAGAACTAGTGCAAACCGCCTGAGCATATTACTCGGGATGTATTAGCAGAAGAAATGAGTAAATTAAGAAACACTCTGACATCTATTGTCGGGTTACCAGCCAGGATTGAAACAGAGAGGGTCGAGGTAAATCCATATATTCAAGCTACAAACAACAGAGGGGATGATATTAAAATATTTTTAACTTGTAAACCCCCAACGTTTTCTAGAGAAAGAGAACCAGTGAAAGCAATGTGCTGGTTGAAAGAGATAGAATCTGTATTCAACACCAGTAAGTGTTCAGATAAAAATAAATTCAGATTTGCGGTACCAATGTCGAAATCAAACGCCTTGTATTGGTGGGATGTGGAATCACTAGCAAAACCTGATATTCTGCGAACAATGTCCTGGTACAACGAGAAACTACATGTTGAACAACGAGAAAGAAAAAGTTCAAGAATTACCTTGTCATCCTCCACCAATTCAATAAGCTGAGGTGTCTTTCTAAGGTTGAGATTTGGCAGGAGTTGGATCTACAAGTACCATCATCAAAAGCACGAGTTTTTGACAATCTGAAGAGATAAAATGTCCAAATGAACCACCTATGGTATCATTACATGGGCATCCCGTCTATGTATAATTCTTTTGCTGATGCGCTAAGAGTTCGAAGAGGCAATGTTGAATTTACTTATGAATACACCCCTCCCATTATCGAATCAAATAGTAAGAATATAGTGTTACTTTTTTGAAGATGTTATTTTAGAAGGCAAAGAAGATTTTCATTAGGCTTATATGGTTTTTTGTTGAAAATGGATTACCGTACAATATCCTTGTTCGGAATTAAGAGGGATGTGGCGAAATTTTGATTTACTTGAAGTTGAAATTTTGATTTACAAATCTACTTGTTAGTTTTAAGTGCAGGTCAAGTTCTCTTAGCAAATACCGATGATGGTGGCTTTGTTCAGTCTCTTATCTTTAACTCTGATGACTCAAATTTGATCTCTAAATTCGTTTACATCCCGAATACTTCTTCATACATATCAGTCTTACAATTCTCTATAAACAACCTGTGATTCACATTACTTTCAACTCCAAAACCCTAGAGACAGAGACAATATAACTTCATATCTCACACCTAAACCTTTGTGATGCTTTAAAGCTTACATGTAGGTTGACA